TTTCTTGTATAATCTAACAAAGCAAATAATAGTGTACATAGAAACAGTTTATGGAATGCTATGATGAACTTTGGAATACCAAAGAGGTTAATCACCATCACAATACCATGTATGGAAGACACTTTAAATATACTAACATAGCACGGCAGAAAGTCAGACCCTTTTCATATAACATCTGGTTTATAGCAATGTGAAGCTTTGTCTCTAACTTTTTTTTTTTTTTAACTTTTCCCTGAAGAAAATTATAAGGATACTGAAACACAAACGTAAAATAGGAGACACTACTTGAATACTTGGATATGCATAAGACATTGATATCGTTGGAGAAAGTTAACTAGACCAGTCGTTTTATATGGCTCTGAATTTTGGGGTACAGCTAAAAGATATGAAGCCATGTTACAAATTTTCAAAAACAGAGTCTTACAACGTATCTTTGGGCCCGTCAAAGATGCAGACAGCGACGAATGGAGAGTGAGAAGCAACAACAACATTCATCATCTGTTTAAATCACCACTGATCACTGGCATCATGAGGGCTCATAGAGTGAAATGGCTGGGATATGTTAGGAGAATATCAAATGACAAAAAGGTAAAAACTGTAATCACAAGAGAGCTGAATAGTCGTAGACCACGAGGCAGATCAAGAATATGATGGAGAGATAATATCTAGGCAGACCTACGAACACTTAGTATCACCAACTGAAAAGAGAATGCCAACCAGAGAGATAAAGAAAGGCGAGTTACATCTGCAGTAATTAAGGGGGTAGTTCTAGCAGAGAATCTCGAAAAAATGTGATTTTTGAATTTCGAAACAAATTTGGTATCAAATTAAAGATTAATCAATGTCCTACACGTTTCTGTATACATTTTTAGAATCGGATAAGTAGTATCCGAGTTATGATGGCTCAAAGATGGTCAGGTCTTTCTGGTTTTGGAAGAAAAAAAATCAGAAATTTGTGTTTTCACACATACACATGTATTTAGCGACAATGCAAGCCTCCCTAACAGTTTTCTTACAATGAACGATCCTTGTACGGAACAATCAAAATGGCTGCCTTTGTAGAAGCGTGTTTACATTTTGTTTGGTCTGAAATAATTTGTACAAGTGATATTCTAAGCAATGTCAAGTGATAAAAAGTATTGTAAACATTCAATGAAGTTAAAGTTTCTTTGGAATAGATTTATAAGGGCTACAAAGAGATGCAGAGAATTAGTTTTATATCATACTATTGAGAACGACAAACATGTAAACATAAACAATAACATTGACATTCCTACAAGTAATCTGTGGATATGTTAATTGTAATGTTGTAGTAATAATAATAGTAGAACCAGTACCAAAGTGCCACGCCCACTCACAGTCGGTCATCAATAAAAATCAACGACCTGTATGGCATTGATGATGATCCAGGATACAGATTTAGAAGAATGTGATAAGGCAAATACTTATCCTAAATGTGACAGTACTGACAGGGAAGGGTACAGGATTGCTGACCTGGAAATTCTATGTCACCAGATTTCATCACAGCTGGTTTGTGTCTTTTGTTACAACCAAGTCAGACTTACTGACAATGAAAGACAAGGACTTGGTAGTCACTTTGAATTTGTATGCAGCAACCACAATTGTAAAAGACAGACCATTTATCATTCCAACTGTCAAATAAGTGTCAACTACAGCAGCAGCTTACAAGTACACTCAGTCAACAAGCAAGCTGTTTTCGCTATGTGCTGTGCACGAAGTGACTGTTCGGGACTTGCAAACATTTCGGGGAATAATGAATTTTCTGCCGCCTGTCCTGAAGTACACACATGAACTAATAAATGAAGGATATAAAGTGCTTGGAGATGGTGACACAGACAGCTTCGAAACAGTTTCTGATTCAAAGCCATACAGTGACACGCCTGTTATGAAGATAGAATGTGTCGGGCACGTGCAAAAAAGAATAGGTACCCGACTACGCAATATAAATAATTTTGTGGGAAGGGAAAGAACCTGTCCGATAGGAAGAATATTGGTGGAAATGAAAGGCTTACGGACACACAAAGTGACTCTATTCAGAAATATTATGGGAATGCAATCAGAGGTACTAAAAATGACTTGAAAGAAATGCGAGAAGCTGTTTGGACAATATATTTTTCACAAACTCTCCACGGATCAAAAGCCTGTTCACAATCTCTGCTAAATTATTTGGTGCCCAAATAACATCGCTATTGCTACCAACACAGAATAGGATTATAAACATAAAAATTCCCTGCCTGCAGCAGTTATGGATGTTATCAAGCCAGTTTTCATAGATCTCTCAAACCCTACCTGTTGAGAAAATTTCTAGATGGCTACACCCAGAACGCTAACGAATTAATCAACAGCACAGTTTGGCAACATTGCCCCAAACACAAATACCATGGATAAGTAGCTGTTAATATTGCAGTTGGCATTTCAGTACTCATTTTCAATGATGGAGCAAAAACCCTAGAAGTGCCCGTTGTGGCAATGCAACTATTATGTGGATGTTTCACGTCAGAATTGTTCATCTCTACTGACACGTTACGGCTGAAAAACTCTCAGAAGAAAGCAACAGAAGCATCATTGGAAGCGAGAAGTGCAAGGAGGGGGAAGCTACTTGGAATAAAGGAGGTACAAGATCAATCCGAAGGCTACCCTTATTTGACAGGGAGTCACTGAGGTAAAAATTCAGAAAGTGTTAACAAAAAAATTAACGCCGTTTGTTGTAAAATTTTACATTTTTTTTCACTTATCCTGGTATAACTTTCTCAGATTTTAACTAATCTGCATTAAATTTTGCATGCTTGTTCACATTATAACTGGCTGTAGCCTATTCTAAGGGAATTTTAATATCATGATTGTGTTCATTTTTATGTAATTTCAAATTTGTAATTTTTTACACACAAAAAGAGGAAAATTTCAGGTAGCATTACATAAAATCTTTTAAATGTGTACTGTTTTCCATAGTCCGGGCCATACTCACACCATTTTTGTATGTGCAGTTTAATTTGGAAGGAATTTGGCTGCACCATTTGCCAAAAACTATTTCCAAAGTAACATCTATATTTTGCATATTTAAAAAATTAATTTTTCTCTTAAAAAAATTATTATCTCACATGTATATATTCAATTACAAAGATGTTTGTTTTATATGAAAGCCTTACCAAATGGTCATTATGTCTGAAAATTTGAGAGTCCCATCTTTAAAATTGAATTTGTTATGATTTTTTTTCCAACGCCACTGATTCCCTGCTAGAACTGCCCCCTTAACCCCAAGGGCTTAGAATGCTGAAGAAGAAGAATAAATCGTGATTTAAACATTCACCATAGCAGTCCAAGAATATCTCCTTAAAGCAAAGATACAGACTGGGGCATTAGTATTTAGTTCCAGCAGATCTGATTCTATTACACCATGGACTGTGCATCTCAGTGTACAAGGATTGTTTTCCAAAGAAGGTATAAAATAACAAACTTCTATAAGCAGATCTTCACTAGTGAATGCATTTCGTATTTTAAATAAATAAAGCCGAAAAATGATCATACAATATCATGTCAATACAGTCATAAGTTGAATTGATGGGAGTTGTGGGAGACTGATGACTGAATGATTTGTTCGTTAAACTTCATTATAAGCTCCAGGGATGCTTGCTGATAACTGGATCGTGAAATGCTGGTGATAATATTGATTGGTGCCGCCCTGACCTCGACCTTTGCCTCTACGTGCCTGTTTGCATTTATGTCTCATTTTTATACATAATTAAAACACTGTCAAGTCAGTTATGCTTTTAATCTTCACAAGTCTTGTTTAAGAATAACTGTAGTTTGTATTCACTTGTTATAACTCTTTAGTATGCATGTGTGCGATCGTGTCTCTGTAGAGTGTAATGTATGAGTGCAATCGTGTCTGGGCAGAGTGTAATGTATGAGTGCGATCGTGTCTGGACAGAGTGTAATGTATGAGTGCGATCGTGTCTGGACAGAGTGTAATGTATGAGCGCGATCGTGTCTGGACAGAGTGTAATGTATGAGTGCGATCGTGTCTGGGCAGAGTGTAATATATGAGTTGCGATCGTGTCTGGGCAGAGTGTAATATATGTGTTGCGATCGTGTCTGGGCAGAGTGTAATATATGAGTTGTGATCGTGTCTGGGCAGAGTGTAATGTATGGGTTGTGATCGTGTCTGGGCAGAGTCTAATATATGAGTTGCGATCGTGTCTGGGCAGAGTGTAATATATGTGTTGCGATCGTGTCTGGGCAGAGTGTAATATATGAGTTGCGATCGTGTCTGGGCAGAGTGTAATATATGGGTTGTGATCGTGTCTGGGCAGAGTCTAATATATGAGTTGCGATCGTGTCTGGGCAGAGTGTAATAAATGAGTTGCGATCGAATCTGGGCAGAGTGTAATGTATGAGTGCGATCGTGTCTGAGCAGGGCCTAATTTTTCGTAGGCAATTAAGTACAATGAAGCTTTAATATTCTTCAGTGGTCCGTTTCTTATGGGAGGACGGATATTAAAAGCGATAGATACATAATATTTGTTTTCCGCACCATCTCCCCACACCCGACTGACTGACTTTCTACCCCACCAAGACATCACACAAGCGATAAACACCCGATGACACAAAGTGCCACCATGTGGATGAGGATCGCCGTGGAGAGGTCCCAGAAACCGCGTTCAGACAATTGGCCTTATTTATGGCCTGCCTATATTGCGGCCCCTGGAAAAAGCCAGGGTGGGGCTTCTAATAATAAAAATTTTCGTTCTAAAAATGTTTGATAATTGACACCCCACACTCAACAATAAACTAACATTATAAACTTATTGGCGGGGACAAATATTGAAGTTTTACTGTATGCAACTGTGGTCAGTTATAGTCGGTATGTTTATCAGAGCATGTCTAGCTATCATTTTACGACAGTTGGCAAGCTGCTTTTTTTATAAGATAAATATCAAATTTGTTTTTCATATTTTTGTCTGCAGCAATCAAGCCGTTCTATGTCACCAGCGTCGTTGGGATACAGTTTCCGGGTTGCTGCCCCTGGTGAAACCATACGCATAGAAGGTCTTAGCGTAGAAATTGCCACCGTTGTACACAATGATGCCTATCCCGCTAAATCTGGATTTAACATATTTATGAACGGCTGGGTGAGACATAAAGAACCGACTAGCTTCAAATGTTGTCTGTTACGTTCATCACCTAATGGGGCACTGGTGGACGATGTTCTGACGGAAGTCAGGTCTTATACGTATCACATCTATATTCAATGGATCGTTGACCGACAGAACGCTGAGTTCTCCTGTTCTGTGTCCAGTAACCAAATTACTGCAATCGGTGACGCTAATTTCAGCTACGTGACTTTCGCTAAAGACTCATGTCTGAAGGCTCCTGTCGTAGTCTTGCCAATACTACACCCTCAGCCAGTGCCCAACTCCGTCTGTGTTTGTCTGAAAATCACGTATGGAGATATGAAGCCGGAAAAGGTGATTGAGTGGTTCGAGTATACACGACACATGGGCACCACTAAAGTGTTTACCTACTATGCTGAAGTAACACCACGAGTGTTAAAAGTACTGCAGTACTATCAGAGTATCGGATTTCTAGAAATGTTGCCTATGGAGGCATCGGTATCCGCAGGTGAGATCCCATCTTGTTTGTTCAATCGTTCACTGTTCCTGTTGTACAGTTTACTTAATCCACTAATGGGTTATGTCATGGCATTGCCAAACTGCCCTCACCATCCTCTTCTCTACTTGACTATTGTTTGTATATTTTCGGTCCTATATTATAAGCAATTTTTTTACACCTTTTATGTTTGGGTTTGTTAGCAATTTTATTGTGTCATTATATCTGTACTGAGTGTTTGTATTCTTATTAGCATGTACTGGTGAATATCCCAGTTCATACCAAGAACAGTTTCAACATCAAGACTGAGTGAATATAAACAGCGAATAGGAAGCTCTTCTAAAGGAAATACATAATTAGACAATAAGCAAGCCTTTCAATGTCAGTGTTGTCTGTATGTTTTTCTTTATGAGCTGAAAAGCAACTACCCCCTTTCCACTTTATCACAGGCTTCCACAATAACGCTAATGTCAGGAACTGTCCAACTCAACATCATCACCTTCGTCGCATGCAACATTTTGTTTGGTTCCACTCCTGGAGATTACATGTATTCTTCTGTGTTCACTAGCTTCTATAGACGTTTATTTAGATTTGATAAAACAGTTAATGCTTTTACTTCTTCTTCTTCTTCTTCTTCTTCTTCTTCTTCTTCTTCTTCTTCTTCTTCTTCTTCTTCTTCTTCTTCTTCATCATCTTCTTCTTCTTCTTCTTCTTCTTCTTCTTCTTCTTCTTCTTCTTCTTCTTCTTCTTCTTCTTCTTCTTCTTCTTCTTCTTCTTCTTCTTCTTCTTCTTCTTCTTCTTCTTCTTCTTCTTCTTCTTCTTCTTCTTCTTCTTCTTCTTCTTCTTCTTCTTCTTCTTCTTCTTCTTCTTCTTCTTCGGCATTGCGAGTGCTTGAGGTGCATTGCTGCAGACATCTCCTGCCTTTATTCATCTCTATGTCTGATTCATTTTTCAATTGGGACTCCAAGAGTGTGTGTGTGTGTCTCTCTCTGTGTGAGTGTGTGTGTCTCTCTCTCTCTGTGTGAGTGTGTGTGTCTCTCTCTCTCTCTGTGTGAGTGTGTGTGTGTCTCTCTCTGTGTGTGTGTGTGTGTGTGTCTCTCTCTGTGTGAGTGTGTGTGTGTCTCTCTCTCTGTGTGAGTGTGTGTGTCTCTCTCTCTGTGTGAGTGTGTGTGTCTATCTCTCTCTGTGTGAGTGTGTGTGTCTCTCTCTCTCTCTGTGTGAGTATGTGTGTGTGTGTGTGTGTGTGTGTGTGTGGGTCTGCTTGAATATGATCTCTCCATGGCTATGTTTGGGCTCTGGAATAAACAGAGTTGTTTGATTATCACATCCGCCTAGCATGTGGAAGGTCCTGGGTTCAGTACCCAGCTGATTCATTGTTCTTAGAATACTTTCTGCAAAGGATGGTCCAGGTACTAAAATACATAAGTAAAACCAGGGTGACTGCAGTTAATTGTAATGACTAAAATGAGAACCACAATAGCGAATTGATTTGACCAGTGTTTCCTATTGTGGGCGCTAGCATCCTATCGGGGAGCTGGGCGCTAGCTCCATCGGTCAGATTTGGGGCTTGCATCAGACCTGATTGTTCCAAAGTGGGCGCTACTGTCCCTTAATGATGCAGTTTATGTAATAAACAAACATACAGTGTGTATTATGTATAATTCTGCGGCCTCAATGGTTCCCTCTATGTTCATTTATGTGAAGCAGTTTATGGGGCGGTAGATTCGTCACTCAATCCCACGGTAAGTGTGCTATGGGCACACATGGACAGTGACTAAACATACGGCAGCGGTATACGCGAAGATGAAGAGGAACAGAAGAATCATATTTTCTATCACTATCCTCCTGGAAGGAAAGTAAAAGGGCTTAAACATTACAAGAATAGGGACCTCTTCTGGCGACTGGAAAGTACCTGTGAATGATCGCTCTCCCGTGGAATTTCTGCTTCATCCATAATTAAATCTAATCATTCTATAATTTACACATTTGTACTTGTTCTCTTTTTTAACGATGGGGTTCAATAAGGACTCTTCATTGGTGCGGTCATTTCTCCGTCCTCAAAACCCGTTTAAATAATTCATATTTCTTTCATAATTCGTAAGACACGACCACCTTCTGTTATAGGATCAGCAGCAATCCTACCAGTTTGTTATACTGTATAATTATGTTTGAGCTGTCGTACGACAGACAGTACATCTTCAAAATCATCTTTTTAATGTTTGGTTAACGTGTTAGTGTTTCTTCCTGTGTGAAAGTATTAACTTTCTCACAGTTTAATAGTTCTTCATAATGTACTTTTCCTCGGTTATATTTTTGCTCTTTGTTTTTCATGATATTTCGATTCGATTTTTATCTTTGAAATCATAAATATATTAATCCATTATCCGGATGTGTCGTTTCATGTCACAAAGGGCTCCTAGTCTATTTCTCCTTTATGTTCTGTCATGTGTATTAAATGTCATGGATGAAATCCAGCCCAGCAGCTTTGGTCTCTCTCATCAACATTCGTCTTAGGGTTTCTTTTGGGCATCCTTGCCTCCTTAATTCCCTTATTTACCAATTTAATGTGCTTGGTGATTCTCTTCTGGTTTTTTCTCTCAGGATGTTTCCAGTGTAATGCTATCTTCTGTGTCTTGTTGATACTACTAGCTGCCCATACACTTCTTTTATTTCTTCACTCCTTTGAATTCAGCCCCTTTTATTGTCATCATTTTTCTCAGATATTTGTTCTCAAATTCATTTAACTTTCGTTTCATGTCTCTAGTGGTTCTTCAACTTTTTCTTGCGTATGTTAAAAATGAAATAACATTGGAATTGAAAATACTTTAACTATGTTTTAAAACGATATAATTTAGAGTTGTTTCCTATTTTGTTCAAGCTGTTAGAAGCTGCTGATGCATTGCCAATGCGTTTCATTAGATCTATCTTTGGGCTTCCTTCACTATCAGAATTACTAACAAAAAAACAAAAAAAGGATCTTTTGCTGTAAATATTTTTGTCTCTAGTGTTGCATCTGCTTGATCTGTCTTCAGTATATGTGTCTTTCTATGACTTATTTGTAGTTCAACCCTTAATGCTGTATCTGTTAAACGATATGGTTTCATTTACACGTAATCATTGTTACTACTTACCAGAACAATATCATCAGGAAAATGAAGATCTTCTAGCTGTTTGTTCTTCACTCAGTCCAAGTCGGCGTTTGTTCTCCACTCAGTCCAAGTCGGCGTTTGTAAAACAACATTTCTTCATCACCCAGTCAATGATTGTGCCAAATAACAGAGGAAATAAAATGCCTCTCTGTTTCACTCCAGTATCAGTTTCAAACCAACAATTTAAACCATCTTCGGTTGCACTGCCCACTCTGAACCTTAATAATGTGTTTTTTTTCCTTTGGTGTACCGTATCATATCAAAATTTCCCCTAGTCATGTTCTAGGTAAACTACCAAAGACCTTCTTAAAGTTAAACATTCTACCCACTTAATACTATTGATAATTATTTTACAAAAGGTCGTTAACATTACTGATAGAGTAATTCCTCTCCAGCTGTTACAATCAGTACGGCTACATTTCTTTGGAATTTTAACAAATGTTCCTTTCTTCCAGTGATCTGAGATTATTTTTCCCTCTGCCCATATTCTACTAAACAAATCTTTCCTTCGATTTAAAGTTACATCATCTGCTGCCTTTAGCATTTCTGCAGTACAATTATCATCGACTGCTGTCTTCTTGTTTGCTAATGAATTGATTGCCTCCCTGATTTCTGTGTCCTACATTTATTGGTAATATGGTTATTTTAGCCTCATAAATATAGACAACAATATTTTATACAGCAAACATTTATCATGCATTAATAATATGAACATCATATATACAACAAGTCTGGGGGAAAATACAGCGAGCTAGACCAGAGCGAACCTTGATATGTGCAGATGATGTCCTTGTGTATCTAACCAGGTCAGACGTGCACGGTATGAGATATGCTATGTGCTATGCATGAGATGAAAGAGCGGTGTGAACAGACTGTCAAGGGTAAAACATAAGAAGGTCGCTGTTTTGTAGTGCTACCTAAATAACAGCATTAGAAAGCCAGACCTGCCTAGCATATCCAAGAAGGAAACACACGTTGAAAGAAGAAATAGGTTCAAATACTTAGGTCAGACATTTGAACGCAGTCTGTCACATGGTGGCTTGAGTTTCCTCTCCAAAAATGCCAATGAGAAGCACATCACTCAGGGAGGCACACAGTCTTGTTGGTGGCTGAGTATTATGATTGGTCTATTGGGGTTGTTTCGAAACAATCATTCGACACCGTCTTTGGGATGAGGCAACTTTGGACGTTTTCAGCTATTGACTTCCCTCTTGTCTTGCACCAGCTCAGCCGGACATGATCATCCCTATATAATTGTCCTGGTATATAAATGCCTAAACATTCAGATAGAACAAAGTAGAACTAGCTGATTAACAATCCCTGATAATCAGTTTAATCACAAGGGAAACTAAACAAAGCATCATAGACCGAGTCAGTTCATTCAAAACTGAAAAATGCATTGACGCATAGAGAAGAGGGTGGGCTGCAGTGGTTTTACAAGTGCAAATAAGAGGCAAATCCTTAACAGGAAGAATTTATAATTTTTCCATCTGACAGGATGTGATCTGAACCAAGCCAGAATCATCTATTCATCACTGGTTGGACAGAAAATAGATGGAGCGGTTTAATGGTAGGACAAATAATCGGCGAAAGCGCTTGGCTAGATGATGCAAAAGAACCATTGGCTCTGTTCATCGGGTTGAAAGATCTGGCTGTGGATATTCAGCCAGAGTGGCAGGGGAAAAAATGTGCGCTTTAATCAACAAGATCAAGCATGAAGATGGAGGTGGAGGCGACCTCTGCAGCTTTCAAGTGAATAGTAGAAAATAGAATAACCAGAGGAATTCTAGAAAATGACTCACCACACTCTCCCCCACATAAAAAAAATGTTTTACATTTTCAATCAATCAGGTGTGAACATTT